CGTGCAGAGCGCCCAGGTGCTCGTGGTCCTGCAGCAGCGCCTCGTAGGCCGCCGTCAGCTGCTCCTGCTGCTTCTGCAGGCCCTCGATCTCCGTCTCCTTGGCCGTCTGCTGGCTCTGCAGCAGCGTGTACTGCGCAGAGAGCGCGGCGCTTTGGGAGCTCAGGGCGGAGTTCTCCACCTGCGCGGGGAAGCCGGCAGTGGTCTCACCGGGGGCAGGGGCCGCGAGGGGGTGAGGCCATAGGCCGGGGAGCAGGTCAGGTGCCAGAGCCCGCATCGAAAATAAGTGGGACTCTCGGGGCAGGCTGGGCAGCTTTTCTGGGGAAGAGGACTGAACGGCAGGAACGGGCTGTCTGAGGGGGCTTCAGCCCAGAGCCACCCCACAGACTCCAGCTTTTGGGCAGGTTATGTCCTTTCTCTAGATAACTTCCTCGTGAGCCCTCTATTTTAAAAAGTCTGTTTTCTAGAACAAGTAGACAGAAAATCTGTGGATACAGAATACCTGAAGGATGCTATCAATCAACTTAATGGAACTAACATTTATAGAACATTGTGTCAGATACTGTTAGAAGACTGGGAGGGGGCTTCCTCCCCAATCAGCCTACGGAGCCAGAATCACCCAGGTATTAAAACCAGATGAGGACGCCACAAGAAAAACCCGGAGCAATAAGTCAAGACTTTTCTTGTTTTAACAGAACAAATCCCAACCTCTCTATCAAGTTTCCTGTCTAGTGTCCCTGTCCCGTAAGTTACATATTTTCAAACTTTCTAGAAGCTGCAGTAAATGGTAACTCATGTCCCCACGATCTGTTAGCCATAAATAAGGACAAGCACCCCAAGTTGTCCAGAATGCCAGTCATGCTCGTGCTGCTGACAGTCTGGGATCACCTCACGCCCTAATCTTAAAGACTCATCAGTTTTCAACCTCGTTAACACTTTTTTTTTTGAAGTTTGGGTCTCACTCAGTCGCCCAGGCTGGAGTGTAGTGGCATGATCATGGTCCACTGCAGCCTTGACCTGTTGGGCTCAGGCGATCCTTCTGCCTCAGCCTCCCAAGTAGCTAGGGCTACAGGCATATACCACCACGCCTGGCTAATTTTCTGTAGCTATGAGTCTGGCCTAGTTGTCCAGGTTGGTTTCGAACTCCTAGGCTCAAGTAATCCTCCCACCTCAGCCTGCCAAAGTGCTAGGATTACAGGTGCGAGCTACCGCACCCAGCTGCTAACACTATTTAACCTAACATGTTTGATCCCATTCTCCAAGTCACTCCTAATAACACAAGGAAGAGACTTGGGAAACAGGGGCAAGAGGCAAGCAGGAGAGAAATGAAGTTTTTCCACCCATGCAGCTTACACCCAGGCGCTGGAAAAGGCTTATGAACCACCCACCTGTGCAAATCGCTGACTACAGTACAAGCCCAAGCTCCCCATGCTCCATCCTGTGCCACCTGCGAAAAGCCCTGGCCTGGCCAGCCTTGCGACTGGGTATGTGGCGCTCACCTGAAGTTTGGCCGTCTGGGTCTGCAATGTGGTGTTGTGCTCCTGCAGGAAGGCGCTCTGCTTTTGCAGTGTTAGGATCTGGCTGCTGAAGGCCACATTCTGGGTCTCAAGGTGCTGCAGCTGGTCCTTCAGCAGCTGCCTCTCGGCCTGCAAAGCTGCATTCTGAAAGACAGGGATGCATGAGCCTGTCAGACTCTGGCTGGGTTGATGCCAACCGGCCGCAGGCACGTGAGTCGCACTGAATCTCCTGATACTTTGGGGGACAAAGCCCCAATCCAACAGGTGAGGGAAGTGACACTTCCCTCTTTAAAAAGGACAATCAAAATAATTTCTAAAAAAATAAAACATAAAGACTGGCATGTGGTGGCTCACAACCGTGATCCCAGTGCCAAGGTGAGAGAATGGCTTGAGGGCAGGAGTTTGAGACCAGCCTGGGCAACAAAGTGAGACCCTTTTATACAAAAAATAGAAAAATTAGCCAGGCATGGTGGTACACACCTGTACTGCTAGCTACTCAGAAGGCTGAGGTAGGAGGATCACTTGAGCCCAGGAGGTCAAGGCTGAGGTAGCTGTGATCGTGCCATTGCATTCCAGCCTGGACAACAGAGTGAGTCCCTGACTCAAAAAAAACATAACAAAAACCATCACTAAGAGCTTCCTAAAGTTGAGAATCAAATTAGACCAGAGGTGTGGACATGCACTGGCAAACTCTGGAAGGGGCCGACAGCAGACACTGCCAGGTCTCCAGTCACATGGTCTCCACCTTGCCCAGGGAACACATAAACGTAGGGCCTAGCTGGGATCCAGCAACACTGTATCTAAAGCAGCAGGTATGGCCAGAATCTGTCCCTCCCTGAAGGTCAACCCTAGAGAAAGACAGCGGCCTACTATGGAGACCACGGGCGTCCCCCAAGGGCAGCAACACCACGAGAAACTCTGACAAGAAGGCCCTTTGAACCTGCCAGGGCAGTCAAGCTGGACCTGGGTGAACCAACAGACCCTGACATCCCACACTCCCAGTGGTAATGGCGGGTCCTCGAGGGACTGTGGACAGGATGGCCTCTCCCTGAGGGCCTGCTGCATGGCACTCACGTCACGTTCCAGCTCGATGGCACGGTCCTTCACGCGGAGCAGCTCCATTGTGGCCTCCTTGTGGCTGGGTCCCCAGGCCTCCTGCCCCTGGTGGCCAGCGACCACCCGCCCTGTGGGATGCTTGGGAGAGTCCTGTAGTTGAGTCCCCTGTTGCTGGTTCTGCCGGAGGCTCGCACACTCCTCCTTCAGCTGCAGGCAGACAAGGGTGTCTTCAGGCAAGGGGAGCCAGCTCAGAGCCCTGCGCAGCCCTCTGCCCCCCACAAACCAACAAGGACAAGTCACACACGCTCCTTATGGCACGTGGCCTCTGTCCTCCATGCTTCCTCCTTCCCTTCCAGAGATGGCGGCAGGGCGGGGCCTGCTCCCACGCAAGCCACAGTTCCTACTCCAGTCATACAATGGTGGTACGCCCTCCTGTATCCTGAGCCTCACTGTCTACTCCAGGGGACAGAGAGGCGGCCAGGAAATGGGGACTAGGGGAGGCTGGGGAGCGGGGGAGGCCGGAAACCAGGGGAAGCCAGAAATAGAGGAGGCTGGGGAACTGGGACCAGGGGAGTCTGGGGAACAGGTCCAGAGTCGCATGTCTCCTAAAACCCCTCTGGCACTATAACTGCTTAGCTCCAGACTTCTATTCAATCCCGCAGCCAAGAAATGCAGTACATGTTCAAAGAGGAGGCATGAGGAAACACATGTGTGTGAAGAGGAGAATATGTGTGCATATACATGTGGAAAGTGTGGACACATGGAAAACATATGAATGCATGTGGAGTGTGTGCACGTGTGGAGAACACGTGTCTGTGTGTGAAGTGTGTGTGCTCATGAGGACACGTGTGTGGAGAGTGTATGTGGGGAACGTGTATGTATATGCTGTGGAGAGCACATATGTGTGTGGAGAATGTGTACACACGTGAAGAGCATACACCTATATGTGTGTGAACTGTGCACACACACGGAGAGGACATCTGTGTATGTAGGAAACACATGTGCATGCGTATACCCAGGAGGGGACACAGGCATCCTCTCAAGCCCCCGCACCTGTCCTTCCCACCCATGAGAGGGCACTTGTGAGATTAAAGGCCACTGCCTGGTGCCCACAACTCACAGCTCACATGGGCCGTCACCAGGACCTGCCTGGTACCTCGGTGCTGCTCCAAGCTGCCTCTTCCCACAGCCTGACCCGCACCCTGGTCTATCTCCCCAGCGTGTGGGACTCAGGTGCTGCTGCTCAGTAACCCTGTGGCACAGCCACTCCTGTCCCATGCCACCCGGGCAAGGCCTGGAGCAGCAGGGCCTGCAGTGTACCCCGCGCCCTCACCAGCTGGAGCTCGCCCTGCAGCTGGCAGTTCAACTTCAGCTTCTCTTCCACCTGGGCCTCCAGGGACACGATTTTCTCCTCCTTCAAGGCCAGTGTTATTTTCAATGTTGATTCATTCCCGCCCTCCAAAACCTTGTACTTTCTAGAAAACACAAGGACATTGTGGCATCACTTACCACCTCCTCACCCACAAGCCCCGGTCTCCTGGCTGCCTCTCCATCTGCTCTAGCAGCTTCTAGGCCAGAAGAACTCCAGGAGCAAAACCTACCTGCCCAGAGCCCTTTCTGGGGCTCCTCGGGCAGACATGCCTGTGACCAAAGATGACACTGTGCTATGTCCTACTCATGACAGCCATTTTACAATGGGAAAAGTGAGACTCGGAAGGGCTCAGCAACTTGCCCAAATTCACAGTGCTGGATGGGTGGGAGGCCCACAGCCTTCCAGCTGGTGTGTGGACTTGTCGGGACAAGTCCAGGGAAAGTCCAGGATGCAGGACTTCCCTGCAAAGCAAGACCGCTTTGAGTGCTATAGGGAAACCATGAGCGACGAGTCTTTAAAGTGAGCATGTTTACAGTGGACAAATGCCCCCCACGCTGCCCAAGACCCCAGGGACAGGCCAGATAGCAAGGCCCGTGGCAGGGAGGATGCCTACGTGTTGCCGTCGCCATCCCGCAGCAGCTGCTCCTTGTCCAGGCCAAGCTTGTCCAGCTCCTGGCTCAGCCTGTCCAGCTCACTGGTTAGCTGCTGGCTTCTCAGTTTCTCTAGCACCAGGTCCTGTGAGACACGAGACATGAGACTCGAGACCCGGGCATGGGCAAGATGCGCGAGGGAGGATGGGTGGGGACATAGGAGGGAGGCCGGGCACCACAGGACGCACGGGGGAGCTGGCTGCCAGCCCCCTCAGGGCCGAGCAACTGCCTCCCGGCCTCAGCTGCCCCGAGTCAGGCAACAGGCACAGGCTGTCCCCACGGATGCCCTTCACTAGGGAGGTCACACAGGCTTTAGCCCTCCTGGTGCTGAGGACCATGTGCTGGGGCCTGATCTGAGGTCCCCTCCCAAGGACAGGTGTGAAATGCCTCTATGCTGACCCCTGTGGCAGGTGCGCTTCTAGGGACACGCCAGTCTTCCTGCAAACAACAGGTAATTAAGAACCCACTGCAGAAACTCTGCTCAGATGGAAGAGACTGTGAAGGGGAAGACGTCCCAAACCCAAACTTGACTTTGATCACTACAAAGCGTGGGTGCTGGGCTAGTGTGGGAGTCCACGTGCTCCCACTGCACACCAGCTCCTGTGACCTCAGGCAACCACTACCTGCCTGGTGTCATTGCTACTCATGGGCACACTGTCCCTTGTACCCCATCACAAGACCCAAGGTGGTGAGACATGCTCCCTGCTCCCCCAGATGCCCAGCTGCACTGGACCAGCAGGAGCCAGGTGACTGGGGCGGCAGGATGCAGGTCACTGCCTGGCTGGTGCAGGACACTCCATGTGCCTCTTCTCCTGCCACAGGGACTGCCCTGGCCCAGAGCCACAAGATCAAACAGTGGGTGGCTCAGTCACAGATAAGGGACAGGCTACTCAGGGTACCCCAGATGTTGCAAAACCAGGTAGGCCTTGGCCAAGATAACCTGCGGAGACGCCAGGCTAGTGGTGACCACGGCATACCTGACCTATGCAGACCGCCAGGGTTGCAACTATCCATTCTGGCTCTCTCCTCCAAGGCACACTCACTAGGTCGCATGGACAGTCAGTTGCATTTGCAAACATGGAAGCCACCAGGTGCAGTGGCTCACATCTGTAATCCCGGCACTTTGGGAGGCTGAGGCAGGAGGATCACTTGAGCCCAGGAGTTCAAGACAAGCCCAGGCAACATAGCGAGACTTTGTCTCTACAAAAAAATCAAAAAAGTAGCTAGATGTGGTGGCACACACCTGTAGTCCTACCTACTTGGGAGGCTGAGGCAGCAGAATCTCCTGAACCCAGGAGGTCAAGGCTGCAGTGAGCCATGATTGTGCCACTGCACTCCAGGCTGGGTGACAGACCAAGACCCCTTCTCCACAAAAAAATAAAAAAAATTAGCAGGGCATGGTGGCAAGCACCTGTAGTCCCAGCTATTCAGGAGGCTGAGCCTGCTTAAGCCCAGGAGGTCGAGGCTGCGGTGAGCCATGATTGTGTCACTGCACTCCAGGCTGGGTGACAGAGCGAGACCCCTTCTCCACAAAAAAATATAAAAATTAGCAGGGCATGGTGGCATGCACCTGTAGTCCCAGCTATTCGGGAGGCTGAGGGAAAAGGATCACTTGAGTCCAGGAAATCGAAGCTGCAGTGACCCATGGTCATGCCACTGCACTCCAGGCTGGGCGACAGTCAGTGCAAGGCCCCACTCAAAAACAAACAGTCAGGTGTGGAGACCACTTAAGAGCGACTCTCTCCTTCTGCCTGGCACACCTGGGGCGGGGCCATGTCTCTGAGCTCCGCTGGGACACGTTCCAGGCTCACTCCCTTCCAGTCTACCTGCTACGGGCAGAGGTGCCAGAGGAGGCCCCATGGGGAGAGACTGGGCCTCAAGACAGAGAAGGATCCTGAGCAGGGCCTTGGGCACCTTGATCCAAGCACTGGCTCCTCCCTGAGGCATGTCACACCCCACACATATATGTGAGGCTGCACTTGGGCCTCCTGGAGCTGCTGTTCACCTGACATCCTGATGATGACCAGGTGGCCCACACAAAAACACGAGGAGAGAGCAGAACAAGCAGCTCTGGGTAGCTGCATATCCACTGGAAGACACAGTGCTCACATCCTGCGACCCTGAAACTCCACCTCTGGGAATACATCTGTACAAGGGTGTCCAGCGTTACTTAAAGTAGTGAAAAAGAACGAGTGCTCACGCCTGTAATCCCAGAACTTTGGGAGGCCGAGGAGGGAGGATCGCTTGAGGCCAGGAGTTAGAGATCAGTCTGGGAAAAATAGTGAAATCTTGTTTCTATAAAAAATTAGCTGGGCATGGTGGTGTGTGTCTGTAGTGCCAGCTAGCCAGGAAGCTGAGATGGAAGGACTGCTTTAGCCTAGGAGTTCATGACCAGCCTGGGCAACATAGCAAGTCCTCATCTCTACTAAAAAATTTTAAAACTGGAACCACATGTGGTGGCATGCACCCAGCCACTTGGGGAGCTGAGGTGGGAGGACCACATGAGCACAGGAGGCTGAGGCAGCAGCAGCCGTGATCATGACACTGCCCGCTAGCCTGGATGTCAGCGTGAGACCCCCCAACTCAAAAAAATAAAACAAAATAAACTAAAATAAAATGGTGAAAATACTGGAAACAACCTAAATGTCCAAAACATAACCACAGTTAAGTCTATAAGATTAAACACCTTGTAGCCTTTAGGGTATCATGGCTCTGAAACTCAGTTAACACAGCGAGAAAAGGTGTCACAAATAAAATAAACAGAACCGTTAAGCGGTGTACACAGTGTGATGCTGGTGTGTGTCTCCACATGTGTGCACAAAGGAAGAAACAGAATATACCAAGCCAAATTCCAGGACCATCCTCTATGGGTGAGGAGGCCACACACAAGGGCTTAACTGATCCTTAGGACTCTGGGTGTTTTCTGTGGACTTCACTGGTGCCAGAACTATGGGAATTTCTCTGTGGGTTGAACTGGATTTTAGACCTTGGAGTATTTTCTCTGTAGGTTTCACTGGTTCTTAGACCTCTATTTCTCTGTGGATTTCATTGGTCCCTAGACCTCTGGGTATTTTTCTCTGTGGGTTTTGATGGTCCTAGACTCCTGGCATTCCTCTCTCTAGAACCAGGGAAGGCGTCTGAGGAGGACCCGAGTCCCCTTGTGCCCACACCCCACCCCATGCCATCCTGGGCCACCCACGCTGCTCACCTCCCGAAGTGTGGCCAGTGTGCTTGTGTGCACAGTGAGCTGCTTGGCCAGGTCTCGGTTGTCCTGCTCCAGCTCCCGGAGCCTGCTGGCCGCATCCCTACAGCGAGCCAGTTCACGGTCCCTTGCGCGGCCCTCCCGCTCAGCGGCTGACAGCCGGGCACTGCTGTCATCCAGCACGGCATCCTTGAGCTCCACCTGCTGCCACAGACGCCGAGTCTCACGTTCTAGCAGCTTCTTGTCCTTCTCCAGCTGTGCCACCTCCCGCTCCAGGGCTGCACGGGCCTGCTCGGCACCCTCCAGCCGCACCTGGGCCGGCCTCAAGGCCTCCAGCTCGCCCCGCAGTGCCTGGTTCTCGGCGTCCAGCTGCTCGCCACGGCGCTCCACATCCTCAAGCCGTGCCGATGCATCCTGCAGCATGGCCAGTGATTCCTGCAGTGTCCGGTTCTCGCGCTCCAGGGCCTTGGCCTTCTCCCCGGCCGCCTCCAGGGAGGCCGTCTCCTTGGCCAGTCGCGTGCGCTCCTCCCGCAGCACCTGCTCCAGCTCCTCCACGCGAGCCGCTCGCTCTCGCGCTTGCTCCAGGTCCCGCCGCAGCTGCTGCCTCTCCAGCCGGCTGAGCCTGCTGCCAGCCTCCACCCCCGCTGGCTGGAGGGCCTCACTCTCATCTTCCATGTCCTCCATGCAGGCCTCACCACTGGTCTGCGTCCTCTCCCGCAGTGACCGCACTGTCTGGTGTAGCTGGTCCTTCTCCTGCTCCAGCTCCCTGATCTACGGAAACAATAGGTACAGTCAGGCTGCCCCAAGGCCTGCTTCAGGGACCCCAGTGCACACCAGGGGTCCAGAAAGTAGAGGCTGTACCCAGAGACTCCCTAAGTCCCTGACTCAGACACAGGGGAATAGGTGTGAACAGACAAATGGCTCAAGTCACATTCAGAGCAGCCAGAGGTGATTTTTTTTTTTTTTTTTTTTTTTTGAGACTAGTCTCACTTTGTTGATAAAGATTGCTTTTTTGAAAAAAGAATTTATGTGCACGGTCAAAAATGCAACAAGTAAAAAAGAAGAAAAGTGAAAAGTAAAATATGTTCTTCTCCCACCACCTAGTTCTTCTCCCTAAAGACAACCAGCTTAAAACACCTGTTTCCTTCTAGTTATGGTGCCTGTCTTAAAAGATTTTAAGGATTCTATGCCTTTCCCTGTTACTGAAGACTGTTTATCTCCACCTTGTAATGACTCTGTGAGGTTAATACATGAGACGTCCCATTTTGCAGGTGAAACTGAAGGGACGTGATATGCTCAGATCACACAGTCAGAGGAAAGCTGGG